GGGGTTCATTGAAATTGAATTCGTGTCGACGCTCTTGGGGGTTGATCGATGGAGTAGTACACGGGATTTAGTTCAATGGAGGTATTTATCGAGCTTGTGAAATCCGTAGATTTTGCAAGGAAATCGTTAGATGAATTTGAAAGGGGTTCGGAGGAACGTTACTGGGAACTTTTGGTTTGATCTTTTTATTCGATTCGGGAATGGAGTTTTCCGATGAATTGGATTTAAGGAGATTCTTGATCTACGGGGATCGGAGGAGTGTTTCTCGTGGGAATTGTCGGCTGCGAGGTTTTCGGTTTGGTAAACAGGCTGCTTTGGTTTTATGGATCTCGGGGGGACAGGTTGTTGGCTCCGTAATGAATGGAGACGTATTACTCGAGTACTCATTCTGTTTTTGTTTACCTTCCGGTGATTCGTGAGATGAGCACGCGGATAGTAGACATGATAGCGGCGGAGTGTAATTCAGGGAACGTCGGAATTATTCGCGTGTTTGAGTTGGATTTGTGCGCGACAGATGTTTGTTAATTGCGGCGCTTGTGTCAGACACGTTGCGACGCTTATCTGTCCTATAAGTAATTGAAATGCGAGGTGTGTGACACGAGTGCTGGTCAGGTTGTTTGTCTGCGCGAAAGACGCAGTTTTCTGGTCGAAAACAGAACTCGATTATCACGCGATCCTTTGAAAATCAGAAAATTGACTCCATTTTTCGTTGATCTTTTAGTAATTGCAATCGTGATACGTCTCCTTCTTTATTGTATCAATGCTTTAGCAATCGTAATTTTTCATTTTCGAACTGAAATTTTTAATAGAAGAATTCCGTTGTATTTCCACATTTTTGCAATTGCACGTACCAAAGATCAGTGCAAATATGGAGTGTGCGGAGCGTAATCTACAATGAAAACAGAGATAAGACGATGGTAAGCGAACGATTCGCGGAAGATTATCAAAGTTTCGATAGGAGCGTCCCCTCCGGGACACCTGAAAATAAATTGTGCCCACCTTGAATTCGCTCGCAAGTTCACTGGGCAACAGCTGCCAGACGATCCTTCCTTTCGGCCGGGGAATTAAAATGAGACTCTCCGTTACCAAAGAAGGGAGCGTCCCTCACGAAACCCGCTGGCCATGGTACACTTCGCAGCAATCCCATCACGAATGCCCCTCTAGTGTTCTTCAAGTATTACGATAGATCACGTAACAATTATAAAACTTGATCGCCCTTAAAAGTCTTATTGCCTTTCTTAAGAGCCGCTTCGTTAGTCGAGTATATTAAAATTAACTACTCCTTGCCTGTAACTACACTCGCTACACCTGCTCCTTACAAATATCAGGTAATTTCAAAATTGCTATCTGTTCCTGTCTACAATTTTCTACTCTGACTATTCAATTGAAGTTTCGTAAACAACATTGTACTCGAATGACAAATACAAAGAACATTTGTTGATACATTCCTCGCGAAAACCGTTATTTGCATTGCAGTAACAAGCATTAAAGTGTACTTCGTGTTTTATTACTTTCCCGTATAGACGAGAATTCTATTCGACTCCGTTGTTGTTTCGCGCTGTAACGTTACGTAAAAAAACGAAGAAAGCAGAAAATCGTGGCGAGATTGCGTCACTGCGTAGCGAGTATCCACCTCAGATAAATGAAAGAGATAATGCTCGAATGAAAGAATAATGTTACACCGGGATAAACAATAACCCAGACGCACGACCGGCTGTCAATTAAAGAAGAATGGAGGGGGCGAAATGGGGCGAAATACAAGGGATCCGTTGTGTCTCGGAGCAAAACCGGTTCTTTTTGTTTCTCATAAAACAATTGCCGGGTAACAAGTACGAAGGACGCTCATTATTGCACTCGTGAAAGAACGTATGCTCATTACGAAGATACGGTTATCGCCATCGGAATGCAACGGTTCGTTCTATTTCTCGGATGCGCCGCCATTTTCGTTCCAGTTTCACCGGTTCCGGGCGCGCACGAACGGCGAAATTGTCGCGAAACGAACGAATTTTTCTAGATACACCGCGATCGCGTGGTTAATTAGATAATAGCGGTCGACTGTTACATATTCACGCGTGACGTTGACAACTCTAGCGCGGCGAAAGGTCAACGATAGCATTGTTATCAGTATCTCGAGGCACGGTCTGCGAACCACGACCACCTTTCATAATTACAGACCCTATCTGTTCCGAAGATCCCCCTTTAACAGCGATTTACCCGATGCTCAGCGTGAAAAAGTGCATTTCGTGGAAATGACTCATCGTTAACTAACATAAGTTCGCCTGAAATTTCTTATCGACGTCGAACAGAAACTGTGGAATCCAATAATCGCGCTTCCAAGAAGATTCAAGGGGTTTATGAAATTTGAAGGAAAATCAACGGTTAAAAGGAGAACGGTGCTTCATTGAAGCGAATTTTCGTTTCGTACGTTTATCTTGTATATTTGGCTTCCACGAATGTGTACGATGCGCAGCCTGCTCGGTGTTATTATTTTAATTTCCATTTGTACCCCTGTTAGCTCCATATGGGAACGATGTTTCGTTCGAAACTAGAGATAACAATTATAGACACGTGTTTCCGTGAACATCGCGCGATGAATGTGCCGTATTATGCCCCACATCTAAAAATAGGCGTGCTTCATCCCCGAGGAGGATATCTGTATTAACCACCGGAAGCATTACAAAGTGGTTTCCGTTTTAGGACTGCATGCACGCCTCGGGGAACTCCTCGCGTCTTCGAATTCGCCGTTCGTGTCCTGTTAATCGTAGACGTTAGATTCATGCTAATTCCGTCTTATCGTTATATCCCTTTATTTCTGAGAAGTACTCGTGCTAGACAACCCACGCTCATTGCTTTATCCGTCATTGAAATCTCCGTATAACGAAGTTCGATTCACGATCAACCGCAAAAGAATCGCTCGCGGTTCTCCTACGATTTTCTAATTCGTTTATTTTTCTTCTACCATTTGACTTTAGTTAATAATCTGTTATACTAGAGGTTGTTCGCCAAAAATTGAAATATTATAATATCAGAATAACAACTGAACTTGTTTGTAACTACAAGCACATACGCGTGACGCTAGAATGATATCATTTAGTTCAAAAAAGGTGTTCGTTCCTTTTACGCCGCTGTATCAATTGAACAGCAAAAAAATGAACAGCCAGGTCATTAATATTTATGCGATCCTTAACGAACGCCCGAGATTCGAGACGGATAGAAATTTATCGCACTTTAAGTGGAAAGTTCACGGTTGTTCCCCGACCGTGAAATTCGGTCTAGCAGTCGTGGGAATTCGCCATTATTAATTTGAAAGAATGTAATCCTGTGAATTGGGTGGCCGTGTCGAGGCTGAGCTCTGAGGTCTTCGCGATCTCGGTCATCGTTCTCAGACTGGAAACTCGTTTAATTAACGTTATTGTATCGCATCGGATCAATTTTAATCATCTTTCACGCAATCCTCGGCAACTTCTTTTTCGTCTAAACAATATTTCAACAGTTCCCATTAAAGAATCGCTGACTCGCAAAAACAAAGTTTCCAAGCCTGACATCGAGTAAAAAGTGATTTCCTTTATGAATAATTATGATACATTCAAAATATCAGACAAATCGTGTCAGATTTGAATTAAACGTGTATTTTATAACGTTTCCATTCACTGTAGTTATAAATAATTCAAAATGCTCGATCGATAAGTTGTATCACTCGGCAATACAGGACCTAGTATGGCGATCTAACGGAGGTCATCGGATTAAATCACAAATCATAAGGGCGAACGGTCGATAATTAATGTCGACTTAGCCCGAAGCTCGAGTAGGATATGACATAAGGAAGAAGCTATGTTCGAATGACTCACGAACAAGAGAAAGTTTCCCGAGAACAAGATCCGTGCCTTACACTTAACCTTATCGCGATACTTTACCCCGAAGATCGTGAGATCGCACGATTACACCCTCCGCGAAAATTAGATTAATCATCATTCCACGAGGAACATTGTCGTTCGTTACGTCAATTTTTACAACTGTTCTCTCAACGTTCTCGGGGACAATCGCTGTTAGTGGAATCGATATCTAAATGTCTTCATTGAATTATTCGCACGAGGGTATCGGTTGCAGTTCCATTCCGATCGTGACGGAACTTTCGAAAAGAAAATAATAAAGAGGTCGGTCTAAGTGAACTGTAATGTTTTTAAACGACTCACTTAACCGGATAAGAGTATTCCATTGTTCCGCTGAAATACGGTGTCATTCGAATAGAAAACGTAACTTCCTTGTCTACGCGGAAATCCGCGTTCACTCGTGTGCCAATGGCTTCTTCATCCGGTGACTCTTTTAATGTTTAATATCGCTGACGTAAATAGATTATAGGTTTTATTTCTTCAAAGATCATGTATTTAGATTTAATTTTTTCAACGGTTAAGTATTTCAATTCAATTTTCGAGGATTGAACGTTATGGAAGTCAATGCGGTGACAGGCAAAATTAATTTCTGCTTCGTTTCTGTCGTAATAAATCGTCTCTCGAACAATCACGCTTTTGCATAAGGGATAGGTGATCTATGAATAAATGTTGCGAGTGTCCTATGAATCAGAGGGAACCTCGTTTCCTCATTTTCATGGAGAAATCAAACGGAATGCAGACGTAGGACTCCACATACGTCTCGACGCGCTTAACAGAATTCGTATTGCACGCTCGGTGTCCTTCGCCTCTATTGCCCGACCTCGCACGTCAACTAATGATTTGTGTACAAATTTATGTTGGTTCGAGTATATACGTGTAGTCTCGCGACTCGAGATTGCATCACCGAGAAGTTTAATTTCTCACTTTTTTTTCTCTCGTGCCTTTGCGAAACATTAAATATTTATTTCGTAAAATCCACTTAAGAATATTTCCATAAAATTCATTCCCCGAAGTCTTTCTTTTATTAATCTATTTAGTAATTCGATCGATAGTATAAAATGCATAATATTCCCGATGTTTCGAGAAAAAGATTAATATTCCGTACCGACAACTTACTTGTACCAGCTACTGCAACCAGAAACTACGAGCACACTGCTGAAGTAGCAAGAAATTGGATCAAGTGGATTAGTCAAAAGTTCCTCGCGATTGTATAACGGTGACATGCCAGTAACTGACTTCATTCAATTTGCGAAGTTCCACGTGTTAACTACAAGACACTGATTGCCTTACCTGTTCAGGCTTCATCTCGTTTAGAGGACCTTATATGGCCGACAGCAAGCAACAACCTTCGAGGTAGCACACAATTGTAATCGTCTCGTGCGTGCGTGGATAAGACGTGCTGAAATATCGCGAGGCCTCGTAAAGTGGGTCAACGAATTTGTTTTCTTTTCCGAAGAGGTATGCACTCGTAAAAACTAATTGCAAATTCGCTGCTTTATTACAAAAAAAATTATAACGGTTAAATATAACAGTAGAAGTATCTCCTGAAACTTCGTTGCATCTTCAACGAAGTTGAATCTTCAATGAAATTAGCGACGAGCCACTGATTCCCGAATCGCAAATTGTGAATGATTAAAGGCGAACGGGGAACGGCGTGAAATAAAGAACCGCGAGTAATGTAATGAACTCTTTCCTATTGACTGAGCAGATTATAAGGCGGCGCAAACTGCTTTAAGGATATCGCGATCGCGATCTCGTGCGTAATTAGGCGGGCGGTTGAAAGAATTTTCACGCTTAGCGGGACGAAAAGCGAAATTGGCAAACGCAGCTGCCTTATACAATTGTTAGAAAGTGGGTCGCCGAATGAGCCGATATCAAATCGATCCGCAATGGGTTCGATCTTCCTTAAAGGCGATCCACCTTTTAAGGAGGATTGTTAAAGCCACAATCGTTTCGGGGGCAAATCTTCTGTCGTCGAGGCGGGTTTTTCTGCACCGAAATGGAAACTGGTCGATCGGGGGAGACATTCTTCTTGGACGCAGTTCTCCTTGCATCCGCGATCAAGGTGGATCGACGTAATCCGTGTACACGCTCACTTTTCCCTTTTCACTTTATGAAACGGAAATGTGAACGTGATAATTATTCTCCGATGAAGACAATTTTGATTTGTCCTTCTGGGTAAATAGAATCAAGTAGAATTGATCCAATAGAATCTCTTTCCGTATGAAATTGAATTATATAAAATGTAATTCAATTTAAATGGATCGAATATATAGTGTCTGTCTATGTTTACCGTTCACGGAATAGAAGAAATAGAAATGATCAGCTATCGCTCGTACATTGAAGCATTATCGACTGACTACCGATAGATAACGGTATCTTAAAACCTGTTTCTAATCAAATCCAAATATCCGTTATCGTTTAATCGATAATTTTAACGGTTCTGAGCATCGGATGAAACCGTTACGCAATTCTATTTACCTTAGAGACTTTCGTTATCGGTGACCCGATAATCCCGTGAAATAGCGTCTCGGTATCGCTTTCATTGGGCTTTTCGTCGTTTTCCTTCTTAATTCGAGGAACGGTTAATATTGAATCCGATACTCGAGTCGATTTCAATGTTACAGCGAGTCGCCGCCGCGGGCAAACGGTAAATCGGTTATCAGAGTTAACGTTACGACCAATAAATTGATCTAACTCGACTCGGTGTAATGAAGGTAATGATTTCGCCGGTCGGCGAAGTGGCAATTCCTTCAATTCGCCTCGTGGTTCATCGATGCCAGCCCTCTGACCCAGTTTACATGACCGTGAACGAGAGAACGTGCCCATTAAAAGCGTCATCGCGCGGAGCGCTAGAGCACAAGGCGATCCTTTAATTGCAAGCATTTGCCCGGGCAACTTTTCTGACGCACTCGTCTCTCCTCCGGTTGCAACAATCTGCGACAATCTGCACTAGTTGCTCGCTGTTCTTGCCGAATGAATTATTCACTTGACACTCGAGTTACGCAAGGGAAAAAACACGGACGACTTAGATCAAAATTACGGACGGAGATAAGGGTTGAAAGTTCGCGGTGAACGTTATTAACACTGAAACCATCAGACGAATCAAAGTGACCCATCCCAGGTTTCTTTATTTTCCAATGATTAAAAAGATAACACATATTTCTCCGGGGAATTATTAAAGAAATTGATTCAGCAATATGTAAACCGAATTATAAATCACTTGACACTAGATTTACCGACATTTACTGTACAGTTTGTTCTATTGTTCTTAGAAAAATTGTTATCCGTTCATTTAGATCTTAGAAATTAGAGGTTTAAGAGTAGACAATTAGGATACATATTTGCATAACCGCGTTAATAAAAATCGACCGAAACGTTTACCAAATAATGCTTATAAAATTCAATATCAGTCAAATCGACTCGCTCCGTAAATCTAGTATTGAAACCTCGATAGATGCACTCTTAGAGTTTCTAGAGAAATTTCGAGGAGTCAATTTAACTGCTCGATAGGTTTAGCGTTAAAGGCTATTCGTTCGAATTCGCGGGAACTCGTGTTGTTCCGTGATCAAGAGGATGCGTTGGAACGATGAACGAAAGCAGCCTTCACAAACATTCGTCAGAAGGGACGAGAGAAACGACGCACAGGTGAGGGTTCGATGTAACCCCGCATAATTTCGAATACAATGGGACCCACCACACCCTTCAAACTTTAGAAGCTCGCTCGGGAAGAGCACGACTCAAGACCGTGTGGTATGCGGTGGTATCTATATAGGTAGACGTCACACCCTGTCCCTAAACTTCTCGTTTTGCTTTTCCACTCTTTATAAGGTGCTGCCTGGATCTTCTGGGAATCTAATATAAAGGTGACTATTGTTTCCTGAATGGAATCCGAGCAGATGGCCGCGCAATTATTCTTTCGTTCGTTCTTACATCTAGAAATGACTCGTAGCATTCAATGCATGGATGACAATTTTTTATTATTTTAAGGAGATTCAACGTTTAAAGGTATAAAAATTAATTATTCATAGGTTATGACCGTAGTGCTCTGAAGAAGTAATTAACTTTCAGTTGCACTGTACCTCGTCGACCTTGTAACTTCCTCTAGTGATCGATAATTAAGTCATAGGAAGCTGTGTAAGGAAACAGTACTTAGTCAGAGTAGATTCGCAAATATTTCCGCCTCTGACGCTTTGACGTGTGGTGACTTTTTTCCTGTTAATGATATTATCTTGTGCTTACTTAATGTCTATATATAGAGTTTGCGTTCGTGCTCCACATAATGAGTCCGTATCACGGAGATAGTAGAGGCTGGTCAAAAAATTCAATGCTTATCGTGGAATGAGAAAAATACTTGTTAACAAACTGCTACAACGATGCTGTACAGGTGTCGATGTTAGCTTGTAACGATTTTACGTGACACTTACTGATTGTTACAATGACGATGCGTGTAGAAAGTTACTAAGCAAATGATAAGACGAAGATAGTAGAAACTGACAACGAATTATCACGAAAATGAATGGCAGTTGTATTATCTGATCTTCATTTAATATGAAATAATTTTTAAACATTGTATCTATCTATATTGTACGTTCTTCGATCAAAATGACGTCCATCGTAAGTTACTTAAATGTTATCAAACTTAATCTTTATCGTGTCACGAGTAAATGCAATTTTTTAATTGTTTCGAGCAACTGCCCATTTTTCAACGATATAATAAATAGGATTCTAGCCGACGATTATAAACTTTTCATCAAAAAGTGCAGGATCACTGTAGCGAAAAGGTTTTTATAAAACCACCAGACGTTAGAACGTGCTGTATCATTCTAATTTCACGATCCGGAGACGCTGGACGTTCCACGGCGAGAAATACATCACGATCGAGGCACCGTATGCCTAACGGAATATGCATGCTGCATCAGGATGAATACGACGGTCCAAGCTTACGAACCTTTCCTTTTTAGGCAGCCTTATACGTGAATAACTGTGCGCCCATTGCGCGTTCTCTACCGGTCTTCCAGATACAATCTTTGTCAACATGGCGTTTAAACGACCATTTTACTATAAAACACGCGTGCGAACGTCTAAACGAGAACTTAGAACGAAAGAGCTAACAAAAGTAAAATTTATTAGCTTAGAAATCTAATCTTTTGAACGCCAAATGAAAAACTAGGAGGCATAAAGTATAAAAAAATTCTACGGATATTTTCTTTATTCAAATTCAAATTTCTTTATCGCTTCACTTCGTCGCTGATCATTTACATTCCACGTGTATTTACAAGTAGCATCTATTGTGTGGATTTAAAGAATTGAATGAACTGTAACTCTCTACGATCGAAAACGTGTGAAAGGAAAATAAGAGGAGGATGAGGAAACCCGTCTACTTTTGAAACCTTCCTAGTGTAGGTGGGAAACAAGTTCTTTAAACGGCGCAGAAAAACTTTCTCCGAAACGATGCTCGCGTTTACGAGGAGAATTTGTGGGCCGTGTCGAAGAAACAACGAACGAAGTGTTCAAACATGTTGGGTCAGTGACTCCACGGCAACGCTCGTTCCGCAGATCCTACAGGATGTGTTACTTGGATCACTGGCGCATCATATAATTAATAATAAGCAGCGACAGAGGCTCGTGCCCCTTCGAGCTCGAAAGATTAATGGAAATCTCGTAAATTCATCGACAAATAAAACGCGAGTCGAATAATCGTTTGATCGAAAGATTAATGGTGTCACTGTACTGTATGAGGCTCATTAAGTTTCATTAATATTAAAAATGAAAATAATTCGTCTAACTCCAAGAGCTGATAAATTAAATAATCCATTATTTCGTTGTTACGAGCGATACGACCATATTCCTCGATATTTTGAAATATAAAAATGTTACTTCCGATTGTCGTTGTTGAACTTTTAAAGAAACTAGACGATTGAAGATCGTGAATCGATATTGTTGCAGATCAACAGTAAATACAGCGAGGAACTGGCGCAGGAATGTCTGGAATGGATCAAGACGATCACTGGCGAAAACATAAACACCAACGGGGACATGGACAACTTTTATGAAACCCTGAAGGACGGGATCCTTCTTTGCCAGTACTTAAACCTCGTGAAATGATGCTAAACGATCGCAAACGTTTTTTTTCGCGATGGTAATTCATATTTTCGCATTTCAGATTGGTGAACGACATCAAGGAAGGCTCAGTAAAGAAAATTAATAAAACCAGCCTCGCTTTCAAGTGTATGGAGAACATAAACGCCTTCCTTGAGGCAGCGAGGGCACTGGGTGTCCCGGCTCAAGAAACTTTCCAGACTGTCGATCTTTGGGAAAGACAAAATCTCAACTCGGTTGTGATTTGTCTACAATCCCTCGGTAGAAAGGTAGAATTTGTTTAATTTTTACTTTTGTAATTTTAATTTCACTGAGTCTAACTAGTAACGTTGTACAGCATCAAGTGTTACTAGAAATCTAAAATTTTATACGTAATTTGAAGTAGTTTCATAATAGTATCATAAAATTTGTTTTGCAGGCGGGTAACTTTGGTAAACCTAGTATCGGACCAAAAGAAGCAGATAAGAATATACGTAACTTCACTGAAGAACAATTAAGAGCTGGCCAGGGTGTGATCAGTTTACAGTACGGCAGCAACAAGGGTGCTAACCAGAGTGGCATCAACTTTGGAAACACTAGACATATGTAAAAATGTTCATCCTGTCATTGAAATAATTCCACAAATTCACTCGCCTCTCTTATTTTATTTTCACGATACGTTAGACTTATAGGCAATGTTTGTCGTACAACAATCTTTCTTGTCGTGGTCCAAATTACACTAGACAGCGCACAAAATACATTGGCGTGCGTGAACAATGTACCAGACGACTTTATATGCATTTACAATAGGAGGCAGTATAGTACATACAACATACTTTACGAGTGTGTTATAAGATTTTATGTAACGTTTCGGTGGAACGAGCAATTTCGATGTCATCGAACTGCGCTCGCATTCTAAAATTAAAGTTATATATCTTGGACAGTAATGAGTATACTGTTGAATGAGTTATGAAGAAAAATGAAAATGTGATTTACTATTTGAGAAGAAATCAATTTCTTTAAAAATGTAGAAATATAGTTACATTTCGCCACTAGTAAAGATTGGACCGAGTGGCTCCGTATTTGTTAAATATTTCATATAGATTATGAAACAGAGTTACTGTAAAATCTCTTACAAGTTACAGTGTAACCAAATTCTACTTAAAAAATTCCTGTTGCATGTAAGATGAAAACTATTATAATTATTGTATAATGATAAATGATATATAATTATATTAAGTATTTTGTACAAATATTTTTTGATGATTATAAAAATAATTTTTCATAATGTATTAATGATGAGTTAATAAACCAACCCAAAATGAAATAAATAAGCTTCCATTTCCTTTTTAATTCATTTGTAAATGCTTTATTTATGAGCAATATATACAATCTATATTATATAATATATAGAAATGACTAAACAACTTATCTTGAAAAGGGATAGTAATCAAATCCAGTATTCATTTTATATGTACTTTTGTCTTTAGTTTTCTTGTATTTTTCTAATATTTCTGCTACATTAGATCTGTACAAAAATTCATAAAATCATTAAATAATGCTCCACAAATTGTATTGTACATTAAAATAATAAAATTACCTATAAGGTGGAGGTAATAGCTCTTCCTGTAATGTACAGCTCTGCTCTTTTGGCTGAATGGTTTTAAATATTGTCGTTTTAACTATATCTACATCTCTTTGGTACTCGTCCATAAGATCTTTCAATGACGAAGGAGGAACATCAAAACAGAACCAAAAATATCTGGAAGCAATGTATAATAAATTACAATGTTAATGAATGATACATATCTAATAATGAAAATAAATAAAATCATAATAAGGTTAACATAAACGATAAACTTACCCAGCTTGTTTAAAAACTGTGCCATGATTACTTATTTTATATGGAAGATTTTTTTCTCCCCAGTTTTCAATTTTCCTAATAAAGCCACCAGTTTTAAATATTGAATTTGCCACTCTCTTTAAAGTTTCTACAGAATCTGGCTGTAAAATATGTGTAAGAAGTGAGCATTATAATAAATAAGAAAATGGAAGCATCATATTTCATTGTGATTTAATATTTAAAATAATATTTTAATCATTTTTACTCACTAAACACATACATTCTAATAATTCTAAAGAAAAAATTTAAAATATTTATGCAACAAATTATAGGTTAAGTACATTCTACATAAAATATATGTTATAGAACAAGTGTAGTGTAATTTATTTTAATACCTTTCTCATAATACGTAACAATATTGGCATTTCGTACGTAGGCATGTTGTTTGATATTTCTATTTTCAACAACAGAATAAAATATATATTTAAAATGCTTCGGCACCCACTTACGCGTTATACCTGCCACAAACTATATGTCTCCGCCTTCATTCACTTGTACTATGTTTATAATGCTACCACCCATTTATAAAGTGAAGTATTTGTGTGCGTTGTTACCCAAAACATAACCATGTGTCAAACTCTCTCTTATTATTTGCAAGTAAATCAATAATATCTTAATTGTTGAATATTATTTATAATAAAGTAAAAAGAAAAAAGCTTCTGTAACTGTGTTAGAAATATTAAATCTGTTATTTCTTCTTGGTTTTTTAAATTACGTAGCATATATTTTACAAGATACTTACGTTAGGTTATGCGTATTAACATGTACATAAGAAGAATACTTACAAATTTCGTAAAAAAATATAATAATTCATATTTCAATTTAATAAAACGACACCAAAATGTACTTTCGCATTGTATAGAAAGAAATGACTTTCCTTCATTAGTCCCATTACGTTTATCACAATATTCAAGTAATAGTCCATTAAAATGTTGGAATTGTAATTCTATATACAAGTCCGAACTATTTTGTTCAAAATGCAAAACATTACAAGAACCACCCGAAAATTTAACGTATTTCGATTTAATGGGTATTCCCAAAAGCTATGACATAACAGTTGTGGAACTTCAAAGAAAATACAAAGAGCTTCAAAAGCAATTACACCCTGATAAATTTGGTAACAAGTCTGAGGCATGTTTTATTTATTGTATTAATTGTGTCAGCTAGTACACAGAACTATTCCTTATAAATTTTTCTATTTCATTTTTACAGAAAGAAAAACAACTATCTGAAAATTTATCATCATTGGTAAATAAAGCGTATAATACTTTATTAAACCCCTTGCAAAGAGGTCTATACATGTTAGAATTGAATAATATAACAATACCAGAGGGAACAGATAATATGAATCCAGAATTTTTAATGGAAATAATGGAGAGAAATGAAGAAATAGAGGATGCATTGAATGATCACACAAAGATTAAAAAATTGGCAAAACAAAATGAAGAAATATTAAATAGTTTGACAATGTAACACCACTTTTTTAAAAAAGAAATATGATAATTTATTATGAATTAATGAAGATACTTTTCAGGGATATTGCGAAAGCATTTCAAGAAGAAGATATTAAAAAAGCAGAAGTCCACCTTATACGAATGAAATATTATAATAGTATTAACAATAGATTTAAAAAACTAAAACATGATTTAGGTATAGTAGAATGAATAAAAACTCTGCCTAATAGAATGTAAATTATAAGTGTACATCAATTTTAATGTATAAATATGTGTTTAATATAAAAGTCATACTATAATGTAGTAGTTTGTTACTTACAAAATATCTTATTAATGTATCAACATTTTTTTTAAATATAATGTTATACAATAAAAATAACATGATAGGAAAAATTTCAATGTTATTGTTCATTATCAATTTTCCATTGTTCTATCCACTGGCAGATTCTATCTACGTTGCTTGTAACTTGATTCACATTATTACTCATTAATTCATGAACTATTTCTTCCCTATAAGCTGATTTTGCTTCTTCAAGAATTGTTTGAAAGATTTCACAATCTATGTTATCTTCTAATTTTTTTCCAGTATAACCTCGATCTTTTAAACGATCGTATAATATTGTATTGTCAGTCCTTAACACAAAAACAATATCAAACCATCTTTCTGGGAAAAAGTCAGCCCCATGATAATCAATAATTTTTCCACCTTCACACATAAGTTCTTCCATATGATCTAATAACTACAATTAAAAAATACATTATTTACAAATTAATACATATACATATATGTATATAAAATTATTACCTTATCTTCATCCAAAATAGGACATTGATACACGTCATCGTACTCTTCTAAACATTTGTTTTCAATAGCAAATTTACTAACATCAATCCAGGTTAACCCTGTTCTTTCTGATAAAAGACGACACATTAAACTTTTTCCTACACCAGGCGTACCTAATATCAAACAAATATATGATTTAATTTTACATAATTTTTAACATGAGAATTAAAAAATATTAAGTATTATTTTATTATTGAATTATAAAATTAATGGCACTATTTACCTGTCACTAAAATATTTGGATAACTTTTATTCATGTTGACCATATTTTAATAGGCTAATCCTACTTCCAGAAGTGTTCCAGTGAATTAATTATGTATTGTAAACATTGCCATTTACACGTATGAAGATTATCTATAAACGTTTATGCCGCTTGTAACACGAGGGTACTATCTTTTATTTTCATTGATTAGTAAAAGAGAGAAGTAAGCAAAAAGTTCAATTTTGATAGATTTAAGAATGTTTGAAAGTACTTAAATAGTGAAATAATTTTGTTCAAATTCAACAATTATAATGTAATTTTTCTAATTTGAGTTAGCTGCAATTATTATTAATAATTGAATGCTAACATTCCTATCTAAGAAGAATTTATTTTATTCGTTTGAAGTTGATAAAAAAATTGATACGTTTAAATACAAAATGAAATATCTGCGTTCAAGAGCATTTTTATAAAATACGTACTTTTAAAGTGATTTTAACATTATTTAATATACTTGTCATTATTTTGTTAAATTAAAACAATGTAAATTACGAATTAAGAATTACTGTATCTTTGTTTATTCAATTTCAAATAAAAGTATCTGTTGGAGGTCTATATTTTTCTACATACTTTATGGACATTGATGCAACGTAACACGTGTTGGGTCGAGTACGTTTATTTAAAGAGAGAGAAGACGTAGTAGTTTCACCAGAAACACGGAATTTTCGTCACTGATTCGTAAGGTCAATTTAATATTAATAGTAAATTTTCTAGCATATCAGATGGAAGTACAGTTTCAGCGAGAGTGCAATATCACAATAAATAAATAATTACCAGGAGACTGAGTTGTGATATTTCAGGAACAATCGCTCACGGCACGACCTGGTACGACAAGAATGAGCTGGCATAATTCGTTGTGCTCATTATTTCGATGTATTCGTTTCTCATTATTTAATATATGTCGTAATGGTGCCGTTTGCTTTGTTTCTGATTACTGATCACAACAATCCTACTGTAAATTACTAGCCTGCTACTCAACACGATTTACCTAACCTGCGTTATTATGGTTTATAACCTAATTAATACCTATAACATATTGTTGTCCAGTTCCATTGTGAAATGAAATCAATCGTTTTGCGTGTCTGTATACATATTAATAATATAATGCAACAAATTGTGTATGCATAATACGATCGAAATTTCTTTGTTTGAATATTTACATGAGTTTATGTATTAAAAAAACAAACAAACAAGGTACCTATTGGTAGGTGTAGATGTGGATAGATTAGATAGGCGCCGATTTAAGACATTAATCAGAATACATTTTTTAGAATCAATATTTTTATTTTTAAACTGTTTATCCTTCTTGAATAATTTTTAAATATTAAACGTTTTATAAGTAATTAGATATAAAAAGATTGATTTATGAAAATGTGTTCCCTTATATTATTTCAGACGAGAATAATATAGGCAATTGGTACGAATAAAATACACCAAAAAAGGAAGAATATAGCACAGCACAGATTGTTTTACAAAACAAAAAAACACCATAGATCACAAAAGATTCAAGCATTGCTGTGGTGCAGAAGGGCTCTATGTGCTCCACATCAGTTTCAGCAAATGGTACTTTAGTTTTCAAAAATATTGTGTCACGGCATCAAAGGAAGAATTCATTTGGAAATTATAAGTTTGGTGTACGACAGAGGCAATATGCGCAACGAAATCACTGCAGCAGTACTATTCTTAGTACAGCTGATAGAAAAAAACGAAAAATTTAGTCCTGATCAATTGGAATGTTTTAAGCGACGTTTGGTCGAGTTATTGACAGAACGTTTCAAGAATCATTGGTTCCCAGACAAGCCATTTAAAGGTCAAGGTTATCGTTGTATTCGTGTAAATGGTCATAATCGGAGGGATGCAACTTTGGAGAGTGCTGCTAATGCTGCTGGTGTCAAATACGAAGATCTATCTTTACCAGTAGAATTAACGCTTTGGGTTGATCCCAATGAAGTTTGCTGTCGATTCGGAGAAAGTAAAGGGTCCTATTGCACATTGGCATCGTTCGATGACAAAGAAAATACTGTACCAATTTTCCAAGGAAGCAATGAAGGATTAGAAAAGGAAAACAAACAGTCTGAGGGACAGACTAAAATACAGGTAAATATACATTACTATATACTACTTAATATAAATTAATTTGGTTTTAGATAATGATGTGAATGATTATAAAAATTGGAAATATCATAAAAATAATAAATATGTCTGTTTTCCTACAGAAATCCCCTTTGACTACTAATACAGAGCAGCAACAAAAATCAAAACCGCTAAGTTCTGCTAATCAAAACCAACAGCATAGCAATAATGGTACAGGTAGGAGACGCAATTTGAATAGCCCCAGACTACATCTTAATAGAAATCGTTCGTGGTTTGGTCACTCCTTCAGTATGGGATATGGTCCTCATCCAATAAGTCAACCATGGTATAACATTATGCCCCCCCATTTTTTGGGTGGTCCATCTCCACCTCCTTTCATGGGTCATAGAGGAAACAAATGGATCCATCCACCCTCCTATCCGACAGGACCTACCCGTTTCCACCATTGGTCTCCCAAAGCTGCTCTTAAAGTATGAACAAATCCTCCTTACGAAAGTAGTTAAGAAATCTGTTCCTTTGTATAAAAAGAAAAAAAGTGTAAAATTGTGTTGTCGATTTGAAAATTTTATATTTGAGTCTAAAGATACACGACGTTTGTAATAATATTGAAAAAAAAACAACATTATTTAGAAAAATAACATTATTTTTTACAAAAAAAGAATTGAATACAAGCATTTTTATATTAGGAACAGGTTTATTAACATTTCAGTGACGAAAATTATCCATTTTGTAATTACAAATGACCTTGTTCGAATTACGACTAAGGCTTACGATTTTTTATGATGAGAAATGTTGCATTATTACATGTTATATATAAATAATTAATTGAATGATAGATGTTTAATTCCGGATGCAAGGTTGCTTGTAAAATATTAGATTAGTGAGAATTTAACTAGAATGAATTAAGTCATTGATATGTAAGACGTAAAATGAATGTCATATCAAGTGTGACACTTTTTTCTGATTGATCCTCGAAAAAAGGATTTAGCAAATGATAGATCGTATATATTTCAAATGGGAGCAGTATTGATTTTAAGCGGGTTTCAAAAATTTGATACAATTGCTCATTAAATTGTATGTAATGGATTTTAATGCCTTCATAGGCGATCTCAGTTCATTAGTGAATACTTCATGTATCAAATTCTATAATGTAATAGAAGGAAAGAGTTTCAAATGACTTTTTCTTTGATGTATATATAAAATGTATTCATAATGACTAGTACTTCGAAGATTACTCCATTTTTCAGTATTGTTATAGTGAAAAACAGAGGGATAGCGAATTTTAGTCATATTATCTCCTAATTTGTTGAGAAAATGATGTTCTAAAACAGTGTTGATAAACCATGTAAGCTTTGAAGTTCTAGTAACAGCGATTTGAGTATGATCTTTGACAAGTTTAAATCCAATGACTTTGTCTTTTATTGTATATCTGTATTATTATAATACGTTAACGATTAGAAAAGGACAATACCGTATTTGATTTCACAGGTTTGAGGTGCAGAGAAATTTCTAATGTTTTTGCTTCAAAAGGCATACCATACCTGTTGCATAAACGTACTGCCTCTATAGAGATTCTATTGATAATCAGTTACACTAGAACATCACTAAAATGTGCATGGGTGTCACAATTAATATGTAGTTATAAAAAAAACACTGAATCTTGATTTTAATTGTGCTCAATCTGAAAATAAATTGAGCTTATGTTTTTAAATGAAACTAGGAAACTTAGCATTTAAGAATATATATCATTGATGTTGGTAGATTTATAGCTCATTGGAGTTAAAACTTTAATTCTATCTTACTAACGCTAATGTCATGTACCTTCAATCTTGTATATTGTAGACAATTTCTAACGCCATAGTAATTTATACCTATTTCAACTATATTTCATCTTGCTTTGTTAATGCTATCTCTTTATTCAAGAATTATCTGTGTGAGAAAGACTCAAAAACCAAGTAATATGGACTAAACTTTACAATTGCCATTTTATAAAGTGTTTTAAATAATACATGTGTTAATTATTTACTGTTTTGATATATCATTATCTATCTTCGATTTCTCTTCAAATATGTGCTTTGTAAATATATATACTGCAATTACAAATTAAGGAAAATCTTTGTCCTTCATCTTTTCTATTTAAATTACTTACAATATCTGGTTTTTGAGCCGTTCAGGATACATGAATGTTTTAGTACTGTTAGTGCCTAAAGTGTGCAATTTCTGTAATTTATGTTGTAACATAGAATTTGTCCATAAAAGTAACTATCACTTTATTCAAAAGCAGATAATTTGAAAGTTACTTTTAAGGATTACGCTTATACAGGTACATTGATTCATTAGTACAGAACATTCATTCTGATAAAAAGTATAAGAAATGCAGTATATGCTATACATTCTAATAACATGATTAATTTATATTGTTGACATTTTTAAGAATTTTTCGATGATGTTCAGGAGCACTAAAAAATTAATAGCATTATGGAAAATTCAAATTAAATGGCATTGGTGTTACTACCTGTTACATATATGAAATGTGAGTTGAAGTAGCTCATCGAATTGGAATATTGTTGTCACTAGAAACATTTAGTGTCCTTAGGCAAATTTCTAAAGTATAACCAGATACAGCATAAATATTAAATAGTCTGTATTAGAGAAAATTTTAATCAAATATATAGTATAAATTTTGCAATTTTCATGTTTCACATTTAGCATTGTTTAATATATGCATGAAATTTGCTCTATATTATAGGTGATTTTTGTGTTCAATTTGTTAAAACTTATTCAGGAAGAGTCATTTTGTTGTTATGAAAGTTATAAAAATTCTATATGAATATAGATATTATAATGTATATGTAGAGTTAAGCAATGTTGCATTCGGACATATTCTTTTATTAATATATATAAATATATATATGATGCTCAACATTTGAAATGTTCCAAACTTTTTAATTGTGTTCATGTATAAAGAAACAAAAAAGAAATACTTCATGATTCATAACAATAACATTTTCAGGCGATAGAAAATGTTCAAACACAATTTTCTTATAAGAAATCTGTACTAAAGTAACTTGTGATAAAATATGTAGTATTTAATGAACATCAGTGTACTCGATAAAGAAAAATTGCATAAATTTCAGGCAAAAAAATATATTCTCTTTTATACAAGACATTCTTTTATATGTATAACTTCTTAAGTACATGATAGTTAAGTATTGAACTGTACAAGTGGATATACTATATTAACAACAAAATATTGAAAATATTTTTATTTCTTTCCACAAATAATAAAGAAATTTTGAAAAAGAAATCTAAAATTTCAATTTCAAATTTAGAAGTACTAGCTTTTTTTTATACGACCAAGCTGTAGACAAAATTTAAAGACTCCATCGTTGTACATTCTCTTATCAAGTAAGACTGTACTTTACAATCATGTAAAAATAATTTAAAGAAAAGAAAAAGCAGATTTGATATTAAAGATTATCTTCATAGATTATCTTAATGTTTGGATCATTTCGATTGTAGGGTAAGGCACTATATAAGCGTATACATGTATTCTACCACTGCTGTGTCATATGTTATAAGAGTATTTCTTGCATAGCTATGCAATGACGACTATAATCCTGTTCTACAACCATACTTACCTTCGCATTTTTTCATAACTTCAAATATATATCTCTGTTCAGTACTTTGTTTCGTGTTATCCAATAAAAGATATATTACACATTCAAGCAAAACACATATAGATCATTAATTGTATGACCTCTTTACTTCTAGCATTATGATACAAATTTATAGAGTATCTATCATCATAATTACTAATCAAAATTTAAAATACATTAGGATGATTCAAACTTGTATTAAAAAATTTAAGGAACTATAATAAAACTATGTTACTAATAGATTGCAAATCAATGATTTCTTTCATTTTTAACTTGCGTGTATATTCCTTGTTGTAGAAATTTGATTATTATTACAAATAGGTACAAATTTTATAATGCAACTGCGTATACAAATTTACGTTCATGTGTAGTATTGTGTATATATATGTATTTGTGATTTCTGTGGAAAAGTTACAAAACTCTAAATATGCTTCGTTTTCGTTTAGTAATTCCGATCTTTGCGAGGATTCCGTTTAAAAATAAACCGAATGTCAATGTTGTAATTCATCTTCATTAAGCCACGATTTATGTTAATTTTAATTTTAAATCATCGATGCATTTTTCTGCATACAAAAGAAGAATTTATAAAGAAAATTGTTTTTCAAGTATTAAGTGCACATCTGTCAACTTATAATTAATGTTATATTAACAGCATTAACAATTTTAAGATTACAAGCATTATGTACGGGGTATAACAAATATTTAATAAATACTTCAGCAAATTAAGTTCCCCTTGTTTTTCTTTTCAATTTACTACTCCCTTGAGTTCTTTTATGTATTATATTTCAAATTATAAATGAAATTAATTATTTTACCTTTAACGACGGCTTTATGTAATTTTTATTTTTCCGCGTAAACTTGACAGATGGCAATGGTTACGTATTGATGTCCAATAAGAAATGTTATCGTCTTCCCGAATGATTTTATTGGTCGCGTTTAGGTATCGCATTAAGTGCGATTTTCATTATTGAAAATTTATTTTCATGTTGTTTTTTCATTCGAATGTTTTTTTTCCTACGTGTGGACTTCTGACACATCGTGGAAAATTGTGAAAGTAATATGCTATGGCTGCGACAGCTGGTAAAAAACGTCAGCAATGCAAGTTGAACGTCGACGATCAAGTTACGCGAAACGAGTTAGATGTGTGGTAAAACTACAGAGAAAATTGCAATCTGTCGCTTTGTAAGTTTTTATTGTACACGTTTGAAGGTTTTTGTCGAAGACGCTTATCATATACATTATTATCGTCGCTGACGATGCATTGAGAAATTAAATTGCGCCGAGTCGTGCACGAACTATCGATATTTCTGCACGCAATCAACGACAGGGTTATGAGGCTCAAATTTTTAAGTCTCGCTATTAGTCAATATTTTTTCAGTGTTTTTAATATACTTTCTGTACTACATGATGGCTGAAAAATGTAAGGTAAGTAAATCGACAATAAGTCAATCTTATCTGGATGCGAGTGCTGCGTTTCTGTAGAGTGTTGAAACAAAGAAAATGAAAAATGTACGGATTGTAATTACATTGAAATGAAATAATCTTTACGAAGAATTAAAAAGAATAGACTGATTGTAACATTTCATCCATCTTCCTAATTTTTCAAACTGATATTTAATTTTACAATCTACCATATGTGAAACATTGAATGTACAATAGAGTTATTTTCATAGGAATGTGGGTGTAAATGTGTAAATTGCACTCAGCAAGATCAACAACATTGTGACATGCATCTGCATGTAGAAATAGAAAATTTACGGCAACATCTTATGGAAAGGGATAATCACATTGCAACAATGGAAACACAGTTCTTAAACGAAGCTGATAAATTTCCTAATGGAGAGTTAGCTTCAATGAAGGAAGAACTTTTAATCTGGCAAGAAAAATATTCAAGGCTTCACGAGGCTCACAAACGTGTTCAAAAAGTAAATCAAAACCTTGAGGACAAATTGTTAAGGATTGTAGATAAATGTGAAACAGAGAAAACTGCATTCACTAAAGATATTGCAACTTTATCTCATAGACTAGCAGATGCAAATTATACCATACATCGTTTAACTCAAGATAATGTATGTTTAGACACTATGAATTTTTCTCACTTTAAATTGTAGTTGCTTTATATATGATTCTTTTTCCAGGAAAAATACAGAAATGATGTAAACTTGGCAATACAGCTTCTTCAATGTAAACCAGCTAATTTTGTTGGTCAGAAATATGATTCTGTAAGTAATTTATGCATATCTGATTTTATATTACGGTAGAAACAAATTTTGTGACCCATTCTCTTTTCAGTTACCTTCTGAAGTACAAGCCAAAGTTAGAACATATGTTGCACAAAAGAAACGTTCAAATGATAATATTCCTGATATTAAAAGTATTACAGTACCAATTTCAACGTTTCCCCCAACAGCTATGGTATATAATGTAACCAAACCTACAGTTGAGAAAGACAGTGATGATGAGAGTGATGAATCTAAACCACCGGTAGACATTGTTTCAGCTGCAATAATGGCCAAAGTTTTAGAAGACAGAGAAAAAGAAAGAATATTCGCTAAGCATTGCGATACATGCACTTGTAATCGAAGCATTCTAATGGTTGATGCAGAAACTCAAACTAACATGCAAGACGTTTTTTCTTGCAATGATTGTGTTACGAAGTATGCACAGGATGTAGAAAAAAACACTGATAAAAATTGTCAAACTAAAGAAAGTCAAAATTCTAATTTACATATAGCTTACCACGAGGTAAATGAAAACATTAGTATTAGTAACATGCAATATCAAAGTCACTGTACAAAGAATATTAGTAGTCAGTATGTAAGCACAAAAGATAAATTTTTAAGTAGAAATGTTAAAATAGAAAATGTAAAGGAGGATGGTCATGCGAACACAAGGGCTAGTTTACATAAAAAAAACTCGATGCGCAGGAACGATACGCAACCTCAAAATATTTTCCATAACCAGAGCGAAAATACGGCCATGCAGATGCCTCAAAGGGTCAATGATGTATGTACCAACAGCAAACTAAATTCTGAGAAAGGAAAATCAGCAAAGTCGTATAAAAAATGCGAGTCCCAAATTGATGATGTATTTAATTCAAATTCTTGTAATAAATTGGAAAAGAAATCTTTTAACCATAATTATATAGTTCCTGAAAATCATAATAATTGCTTTGATGGGAAAGAACAGAGTCACATTGATATTATTAACGACAGATTGTGGAAGAACGAGTGGACAAAGTTAAAATCTCAGACTAATAAAGTGGATATTAAAAACATAGGTAAAACAAACAGTGATGTTGAAATTGACATTATTAACGATAGAGTTTGGAAAAATGATAAGCCGAAACAAGAAACGCATCACTCGGCACAGTTGATGTTAATAGAAGTGAAAAATATTGATAATAATTCGAACCAGAATGATTCTGGACAGATCGAAGTGGCCACTAGTCCCAGTTTCAGTAGCGATAGTATAGTAATTTCAACTTCAGATCCTTCTAGTAGTTCCAGCGACGTTGTTCAGCCGCTTAGCGGAACGAATTTGCATAATATTGGTTTGAAACCTACTAACCAAAATCGTATAACCGGTCCAAGGAATTGTCTCATGAGAGTCACGCCTGGATCCAAGAATATTCTGCTAGATAATGCTGGTCATTATAAAACTGTGTTGTACACTAGCGGAAGTAACAAACCAAACACTGCTTTAGTTCATTCGAAGAAACTATCCCGGTCTGGCTCGGAAAGGTCAATTTCAACCAGTAGCGAGGAAAGCTCCCCGATCTTGCTACGCGACAATAATCAATTGCAAAGAGTGGCCGAGTGGGTTGAGTCGTCAGTACACATGGATAATTCAGTGTCAAATTATTCGAAGTTGAAGCCTAACGAGAGCATAATCGATAAAAATTCTTCGTTGGTCTATTTAGACGAGTCACAAACGAAGTCGAAGATGTTTGACGACACACGAAGACTGTACGAAAATACTCAAGAAAACAAACACGAAGATCTGGTGACCGATGTTCCGGCTTTCGATAAAGAAATTTTGGCTAACGACGTGAATCATTTTTCATCGTCTGTAGACAACACGGAACCGGAGAAAGAGAAAGATTTGATAATTTTTGACGTGCCGAACGAGGAGGAGAAAGTTGTTCCGCCGCAAGCTTCCAACAAAATGGACAACGCTAATTTTGATTACGACGTGAAAATTACGAAAGAGATGGAAGAAACGTACTTGAAGCTCGCAGCAAGCTTAGATCCAGTTGCGTTGAGCCTGTCGAACGTGGATGGCGCTGACCTAACGATCGAGAAGTATCGGAAGGATCACAAAAGACTTCAGAAGAGCTACGATAGGGTGGGATCAAAAATGTAAAGTGTCTCAACAGAAATATTTCAAGATGATTATTATTACTATCTCAGCAGGGAGTTCCTTTAAAGATAACAGAGCGTTATTTTTTGTAACTATATGAAACTAAGGCTGTACCAAGAACAGTAGCTTAGGGGTAAACATTCTATACACCACTGCAGACATAGGATTATATTTATTTAATTTGTATAGTTAACATTAGCAGCTTTGTCTCTTGGTAAGTTCGTTTGTAAACAACGGTCACTATATTTCTGATATTCGTAATTGTTCGGTAACCACCTTTAGTCGATTCTTTTCTAATTAACACGTCCGATTCTGTATTTAAACGGTACGGTAAGATTTATTCGAGTATTTATTGAATTCGCGCGAGAAAGAACCGTCAAGCTGCTTTGCAAAGGAAACAATTACATCTGGTATTGGTCGTTTAGTTTCCGTTTCGTTGATTCTCTACAGTTTTGTATAGAGTCATTCTATATTGAAAACAAAATAGCCCAATTAAATTAGATGACGAGACTTTTATTCTTGTTACTGCGATTAAATATTATAGGGCGAATTGCGTTCGCGCGTATTGAAACGTGACAATATTTAAGGATTCGTTGTCGAGTGTCAACAGCTATGTTCGTATGCTGAATGCAGCGCGTGCTACTTCCAATGGTTAAGGGTCACGCCGCGAGAATGGTTTGCGTTACAGAACCAGATCATTCGAGCTCGTTTTATGACAGGGGATCGCCGAACCGACGGCGTTCCCCGTGTAAAATTCAGTAATTTTATTTAACGATTTCTAGTGTTAGTAACGAGTAATATATATTTTCCTTGCGTGCTCGAACAGATACGACAGGATGTAGCGGTGACAATATTATATAGTTGATATAATTATTAAGGTATACCCGTGAAGCAACGTGTTAAGGAACTTCGACGCGCGTAGCGCGCGCCAGAACATCGAGAACCACTTCACTACTCCATTAAAGAAAGTCCACAATGAAAATTTCATTCACGGAAAGAGACCTTCGTCTGTGTTAAATTATAACCATGGTACCAAAGTTTCAATGATATTAACGGAATACCACTGCGTTTAATACTTATTAAATGATCCGCTTAAATTAATGTATCGTCGTAGAATTAATTCTCGCCGCTTTCGTTTATATCCTCCGGTGAATACCTGCGATCTCTATAAAAATCAATTATATAAACAGTTCAACGATTATCATCTTTCAGTTGGGAAGACGATGAAATTATAGAAACGGAATGAATTCGAGCAATTCGTCGTACATTTTTGGAAAGTTACTTTTCGCCGAGAAGACGCGCTTATTCATTGATCCAAGCAATACTTGATGGCCAATATGGCGGCTCTTTGACCAGCGTAATGGATTCGCCTAGCGAAAAGGGGTCGAACGAGCACGCTTCACCCTGCGTTCTACACATTTCGTCGAGTATTGCGATCCCGACGCGTGTTCCGATGAGATTGTTCGTCGAATTAACACTGTCCACCCCGTTATTCGGGCTTTCGCGGAAGAAACGAAAGTGCCCGTGTCGCGTCACGCGGAAACTCCGGCAGCGGTGAAACCGCGGCGCGTCTTCGATGGGGATTCATTAAAAATACAACCATCGTGTCGGGGATAATATTCGAGCCGTACGTGTAAATACATATTATATACGCATTACGCAATATACGAAAGATTAATAGCGGACGACATGACGATCGACAGGATCGCGTCGATTTAGGCTGTCGAAAGTATTTAAAGCGCAAGAAGAAACGCCGCGAGGAGGCTTCGGCTTTTCGAATTTACGAGCCGAACTCGCACGATTTTCTAGCCGCCAGAAAAAAAAAAAACGTATTTCATTTCTGCAGTACCTTCGAGCGTAACGCGTTCCGAGTTAATGGTCGCCAAACAAAGAACCGTATGAATCATTGGTATGCTGATGCGAGTCACGAATGTGCGACATGTAAAGAAGTGTTTGTCATGGTTTTACGAAGCTTTTGAAATTTAAAATCTAGGTATCCCTCCTCGGTTTTCGTTGAATTTCAAAGTTGAAGTTCAAACGCGACGGCCCGGCCGTCACGAATGCAGGTTTACGTCTCGAAAAGTTTGCGGAGCGTGCGTTTCCGAACGACTTCGGTAGATTTCGCACGATAAACGAGAAGAGTTAGCGAATGGTAAACCGAGTTTCGCATTCTACGGGGTGACGAATGAATCCGAAGATCCAAGCGAAGAGGTAGGGAACGGATCGTGGATAGAGTTACGAGGGGATTAATGTAGAAATAAATTCAATGAAATCGAGTCGATGAATTTATTACGAATTTGCATGACGTTTCAGCGAGCATTACTAAATTAATCGTATCGAGATGCAGCGCCATTGCCTGCCGTTTTCGATTCGCCGCAGACGTAACGAGACAGACGTGCCGATACCAAATGAACCGGAAGAAAATGAACGGGATCTCTGGCTTTCCTAACTACCTCGTTGCATTCCTTAGTCTTTGATAAAAAGCAGAAGAAAAGGGAGGACCTTTGTAGAAGGACCAAGTTGTCTGGTATCACCCGAGCGTGCGGACGCTTCTATAATAAGGCGCATTAATCGTAGTCGAGATTAATCGAACAGGACTGATCGTTTTGGACTCGACAGGAAATGATTCCGTGTGCAACAGTTACCCATTTAACTCCAAGTCAGGATGTACCATATGTAACGCGATGGTGATTATTATGTAAACTGTAAATATACGATCGAATAAAATGTGTTTAAAAACAGGCACCCGGTTTTATTGCGCTTTAACTGACAGTTTGTGTTTTATTTTCGAGGGCGCTGGATATCGGTAATGCAATTAAGAATTATGCAAATTTATTCCACGGCATTAAAATACTTTTAATGCGAAAATTATAGTAATAACGATGTAGTTTGATGTATTATTTTGTTTTTATATACACTTAGCTCATCATCGGCGCAATCTTCGTAGAATCGTTGCCGCATTACGTTGAGAAAAAAGAAAAACTGACGCACGCTCGGCGCCGCTATCGGATGCATACGTGCACGAAATTGATCCTAGACGATCGGGCCGAGCCCAACCCGCTTAAATCAAGCTAATGTTCCAATAATTCGGATCCAGCAGACCTGGTTCGACCAAATGAATGAATGAACGGCCTCGCCCGCGAGTTTATACTACACATGCAACTGCTCCGATAGTAGAACGCTTATCCGGACGATACTCGGTTTGTCCATAATTGTTGTAACACATTTTGCGGTGTACTGCGATCGAGTGCGTGGGTGGTCGAGCAAGTACAGTTTACTCAGCGATCGATGTCGCGGAAGAAAATTCGGAATAATCCTTTTTCTACAATTATATGTTACGAATTCCAGAATTCTACTGTTAATCCTGTTTAAACTCAAAGACAAGAAAATTCTGAAATTCATACAAACGAAAAGAACTCCTTCGGGAAATGACTCCATTTTTATTTTACTGGCAATACCATTTCTACCCTAAGATAAGTTAAATCGAATAATGACAAAAATTCATGCTAACCAAGAAAATCGATTTTTCGATTACATTATAACGCTTCCAATGCTGATGTTCTAAATAATATTTTAGGGTTCTACGATTCCGTGTGTAAAGGGTGAACTCTACGAAGCTATTACTGTTTCTTCGAAGGTTCCGCAGGCCAGGAGCAACGTGTCCATTAAAGCCCACGAAGAAGGAAGAACCAGCCGGTAGACCAAAGTGGTATTCTAGATCTGTTGGCCACGTTTTTCCAACGCCTGGTCATCGCGCCAGCGCCTCCCAAGTGACCAGCTCGTACCCTCGCTTTCTCGACGAACAGCCGAGCCGGCCAACCCCGCGGCAGTAAGGACGCGTTCGTGCTCACGCGAAGACGCGGACCGACGCCGCGGCCGCCAACGTCGATGTCGATTACCGACCCTTCCTTGAGGCTTACACCCTCGTAAATGCACCCTGCCCGGCGACACGGCTTCGCTGTCCACCTGGTAGCCAGGTAAGACCACCAGTAAATCCACGGGAACTTCCGGTTTGGGTCAGGGCTGCGATGATCCTTGAGACCAATATGGAACCACTTCATCCTTCGCGAAGTGTAAACGTTATGCCCCGAAGCTATTTTTACCGCGCCGCGTTCGCCGCCGCCCAGGGAAGCTTCAATTTTCTGTGGAGTTTGTGCTCGACATCGATCTTCGGAGTTCCTCGCGGCACGGAAACGATTTTTTTTCGAATTTCCATGCGCGCCGCCGGAATCCGCGAGGCACGCGGCACGTTATCGTGACTGCCGCGGGAGGCCGTACTTGAAATTTCATGGGTCATACCGTTTTTTCGGCTTGGTCGGATAACATCTGCCGCGTGAAACCAGTCTGATTACCGCGGAGTCTACCTTGAGGCACCGCTAATCGCTCTAGGACGCATTAGCTCGTCGTCCAGCGATCTCGCCGCCGGGCACGCAACATGCACCGGGCCCTTGGACGCGGGAAACCAGCGGAAAAGTTGATCGATGGCCGTGCGGATCTCGTGAAGCGCCTCGGTTTCTCTCGTTCGATCGAGAAAAAATCGCGCGCGCGTCTCTCGTGGCGGTCTCCGTGAGTCGGATTTGAATCAGATCGATAAAAGTCCGACTGTTGTTCCAGTTTAGGAGTAAAAATCCTACGGAATTTCCTCCTTTCCTGGCCCGGCGCAGCTTCGTTTCCAGTTATTCCGTGGGTTTCTGTTTCGACCGTCGCTAAAACGTTCCTCGTATCAGAGATACACAAGATTTCTAAGAGATCACCATTTCCTATCATTTAATACAGATTCGATTTCATCGTAACAAATTTTAGTTTCAAATACCGCCGCGTGTATACTTTTACACCAAAGAAAATATTCCGCTTATTGCATATAGCTGCACCATTTACATATTGTTTTTAATCGATATCGAACCAATTATGCTCGACGCTTCGTCGTGCCGTTAACATTCGGCTTCCCGAGGGAAAGACAATCTCGTTTTAATCGTGGATCGAGCGGGCACTTCGAAGGACATTCCGCGCCGATGTATTTCGATCAGGAAGCGGTCCATCTTCCCTCCACCCTCGAAAAACCCTCGGGATTGAGAAATTACGGCGGCCGTTTAATACGTCGCTCCCCGGCGATGTGCCCGCGGAACCACGGGGATTAATATGCATGCACACGTTTGTGTTTCGCTTTTGATCGATGACAATTGTCAAGGAACACGATGCTTAGTACGGGCCGGCGAGACGTTTGAATTAAAGCAACGACAACGACTCGCACGCGAGAGGTCCCGCCCGCCAAGGGCCGCCGCCGCCGCCGCCGCCGTGGACTGGAAAATATGTGTGTTGATCGCTTCCGTGTAATAAAAAAGCAAACGCGCGAGCATATAATCTCGACTGTGTTGAAATTTATTGTTTCAAATTGGCCGCAAATTGCGCCGAGCGCCGCGCGCGCCTTTCCTTCTTTTCTTTGGAAGGCGTGTACTTCGACAACGATTTCTGGCGAAACCACGCACAGATGTATAATTCCTGATCCCTATCGCGAGCCCGTCGGCCTTTCGATCGCGCGTCGTTTTCGGAATTCCATGTCGGAAAGAATTTCCCTGCTCGTTCCCCCGAAGCTCACGTTCGATCGGGGGACATTCCTTGAAATTAAATTAACCCCTTATCTCTCGGAAAAATCGCGAGGCGGGGGATGGAAGCTCGGTAAAGCGAAAGCACTGCTTTGTTCTGTCGTTTGCATTGTTTCTCGGGCTCGGTGTGTGTTCCGTTCTCTGTCTAGGTGCGAAATTTATCGATTTAAGGCGAGGCTTCGATCGATAGCACATAAAGACGTTTGATAACTTAAATTCTCCTTTTTTGCTGCTTGGAAGACTGTCGTAGACAAAACGTAAGTTAGTCGATACCGAACGTAAACTAATTAAGTTTCTTTTCCCTAATAAAATTCTACGTATCCTTTACTGTACGCTAGCTATTGCAACAGTTATATCTTCATTTTCTTTATTCTACATATTCAATCTTCTTTCCTTTAACACTTTCATTACGTTCTTCCCTTTACCCAGAAACTCTACAGCTCTTCTTGAAAAACAGAGACGCACGTTCAGGTCCAAGACCTCTAGAAAGGGAAAGAAGAATTACGCGAATCCCTGAAGGGTTACAGACCATCTCAGAACTCTCGTACTCTTTGTCTTCCAGACGATGTCTATCAGTGGTAATACCCGAAACGCCCGATGGCAAGACAATAAGCGTCTTCCGTATTAACGTGTTTAATAACACAATACGTTGCGGCCGGTATCGTAACGTGGAATCGCTTAGGTTTGCGTAACAATTAATTCGCCCGGTCCGTGCTCGACTGCTCGGCGAAATAATCGGGTATTACATGATCGTTACGCCGTACGGGACTTCCTTGGCCGATGAATAGAGCCGCGCCGCGCGGTCGTTGCTCCAAACGGCGTATAGGATTCGCGTTTCCACTCTCGTTAACGGTTCCCGCCCCGATTTGTTGTTCGCCGGCCGATAAACGTGTTGCGACATGTCATCCTCGCGACGCCGCCGTAAAATCGGCATCGCGGGCCCGGCTCCGCTTCGACGGCCGCACCGACGAACGTTGCGTAACCGTTGCTAATTAAACTGACTGCTACCTTTTCCTCATTGCGGTTCATCGCCGTTAAATCGTTATTTATAGCCGCCGATCGGGGGGAAATGTTGCGCTAGCTTGTCGAGGATCAGGTTCGGGCCCTCGTTAAGCGGCGTCTCGTTAGCTCGCGACGCGTTAAGTCGGTGCAAATTCGCGGCGGACGCGTGGCAATATCTTATCACCGGCCGAGGGGTGTCGGATACGTTGTAAAGTTAATCGATCGAACGATCGACGATTAATCTTTCGGTTTACTTGCCCGGGAAAGCGATTGTATAACGTGCTTTCTTTTTTAAGCTTAAGACGCAGATTTGCGTTGATTCAGGCAGATTCGCGTTCGTTATACATTGATGGGATTAGATCGAAGTTGTGATTAATTAAATGATTGGATGGCGCGTATTTATGCGGGTTGTTAATTGAGAAAGGTTTTTTTTCCGAACGGAGAATGGAATCTCGATTCTTAGTGTACCGTGTACTCGATTTCCGATTCCAATTAGATTGAGTGCACGATACACACTTGGAAAATCGTCGATCATGTCGCCTGCCCCCGCACTCATATCTCATAAACAGATTCCACGGTGTCAAGGTCACGCGTGTATCTCTCCTATGATTCTGAGAATTACGATATGCGATTCGATGTGGATAATGCTGCTGTGCTTCGTGACCTCTGAACGACGAGGACACCGCGCGTTCATTAAAGTAATGAAAAAAGTGAAAATTCATTATTTTTCATTAATTCCGAAAGTATAATTATATCACTGTAGCAAAAATAAAACTGCATTGATGAAAGTCGGATCGAGAGGTCTAAAAATATGTTGCTTGAAAGATTGTATCACGTATGTAACTTAAAATATTTAAGAACGGTACCTTAAAGCATGAATTTTTCTGATCCTTATCCAACGTATACCACCGATGCAAAGTACTTACAACGTCCACGCTAACAGTCCTACTAAAAGTGCTCAGAAAAAACTCGAAGAAACAAGGAATTAATCACAATACAAAAGTGACTAATTGAAACCCAATTGAACTCACCGACGATTGCATTAAAGCAATTTTATTACCGCGCTCCTCCTTGATGATCTCCAATCACTGGCGCGAAGGGTAAAACAAAGATGGCGGTCCACGCACCATTTCCCCGGGCTCCCCATACCCGATCCACGGCAGACGGTATTCCTAGAAAGCGTGGAACGGGCCCGTGGAAACGGTTCTGCAGCTTCGCGGCCCGCAAATCGCCTCCATTGGTCCGTCCATTAATTCGCGACGAACGGTTGCAGTAAATCAACGCGTCGCCGTCGCGAGTGCCGGGGTTCCCCGTGAATTACAATTCGGCCGCGAGGCCGTGGCACGCTCGTCGCCGGCCCGAACGCTGACAAACCTGTCTCATCAAGGTTAAACTGTCCCGCGACAATCCGAGGAATGTCACTGGACCATGGGCCATTTTTTCGGGGTTGGCCGGCCGCCTGGAAAAACCCGAGCCGCTGCACGCGCGTCCTCCCGAACGGGCGTCGTGTCCGTTATTACTATACCAGTGATTACCTTTTATTTGTTTTCACCTCTTGCAATCCGGCGATCGTAGTGAAACTCGCCGGCGCCGTGATTTCTACGATGGAATTTCGCGTTAAACCCGCCGATAGCATCTGTTTGTGTTCTGTTCTGTCACGGTATCGCGGGCGAGGGATCATCGTGAGTCATTGAATAGACAGTGCTCGCGGAGCTCGGTTCACGCGAGTATTGTCCGCTGGAGTAAGTTTCACGGGGTGTCGTATTCCTGAAAACGATGGCTGGTCGGATAATAGTGACTCATCGTTCGCGGTGCGCGGAGGAAATTGTTAAGCTCTTGAGAAACAGAGCGAAGACACCGGTGGAATCGTCACGGTCGAAAGGTCTCGCGGGGGTTGTTGTGTGACGTTCGATCAGTTTAATGTCGACGATCGGGGCTCGTTCATTGGTCAACCGTAAAGCACGTTGGTCACATGATAGTGACATAAAATTGACTTTCATTGAAACACAACGCCAGCTGGTACTCGTTGGGTAACCGAGGCAGCGGAGCGGGGGTTGCTCGCGAATTCGAACGGAAGGAAGAAAACAATCACATTCGATTGTTCATTTCGTGATTGTTATGAACAAATTTTTCATACGATTCCGATGATCTATTTTACCACTTTTTCTATAGAACTGCCCGCTGGGTTCGGTGACTAACGCGTTTAACTGTAAAAGTAACGTTTTACAACGCGCTCTGCGGCGTGACCGTATCAAAAATAAATGTGGCTCGGACGTTAGTTCCGGTAGTATTTCTTTACAGGCTCTGCAATTCCATGAATGCGAAATTAGATATAATTTTTTATGGCTGTTATGCGCGCGCATGGAACGTGCATGCTGGATTTCAGTTACGGAAGTATTTCGAATATTGCGCAACCCCGCGAATAAGAAGCTGAATTCATTTATTTTATGACCTTTGTGCGTACGTAAAAAAATCGACGTTCGGTTACCTCCGGATTTCTTAAATATAAAGGAATACCCTACTGCTCGTTTCGAATGGCGAAGCAAAACATTTCATCCTAAATAAAACCTCCTTGCTTATTGCAATCTTGTTACACTTCACAATTACATTATCCCTTGCTAAAAGAATTTTACTGTTACAAATCTTCTTTGAAACAGAACGTCCACCGGAGGGACCAGAAAAACCTCTTCGAAATCGAATGTACCAAGCTCGAAGGCTTCCGACTATCGATCCACCCTTGCCACTCGCGATTTTACGTTCAGTTCCGGGCGTCGAAGGATA